GGGCACAGGACATCTAAAACTTAAGTTGATCTTAAAATCCTTAGAAAGAAATTTTGTTTGTAACTTGTTTGTAAAAAATCACTTATGTTGATGGATTAATTAATCACTTTCAGTTAATAATGGAACATGTTTTGCAGCAGTTATTAAGCAGCATTTTATTTTATGAAAGACTACACATTTTGTTTTGTAAAAAGATCTTTTTTCTAATGAAAATGAACCACTCAAAGTTATAAGCTGAGATCGCGAAAAGATTGAATATCTAACTGAATCATTAAAAGTATATGTTTAAAAATGAGCATCATTTCCTTTTCAGTTGGTTTTCCTTCAAAGATGCAGGAATAGAAATATTTATATTTTGCTTTTGGATGCTCATAGAAATTGGTAGTACTAATGGAAATTACAGTTGGAAGTTGTTGAATTTCTGTTTTGATTAAGCAAACTGTTGAATTTACTGAAGGTGAAGAAATACTTTCTGGCAGGTAGTCAAGATGAGCCTTGCCTTCTGCTGTACACTAATGAAATTTGGATGTCCTAAGAACTTGAGCATGATGACAGATTATCTATGCCTTATTTTTGTCAGTGTTCTGTAATTGCAATATGAGGTCATGAATTAAATGCATGTTTGCCAATAATAATTACTTTGTCACAGCTTTTATGACAAATATAATTTAAGTTGATGCTTGTGGACAGCAGGCAGCATATCAGGCCTGTTGAACAGGAAAAGTCCTTTCTAGTTTAAGTTTTAAATTAATCTTTTGAGCATAAACTTCATTTTCTACCATTTCTGCCTTTTGTTTTCAGAGGGAGGTATGGCAAAAGAGCCCTATATTTGTATATAGCAGTCTTTATTTGTGTGTATTTCTAAGATAAATTTGTGCTGAATTACCATTAATTTAAAATGAGTTTGGTTTATGTTTATGGTCAATCTAATAGTATAATGTGTTCCTAAGAAATTATATTATTAAAATATTAGGAATATTATCAGTTAGGAACTGACGGTAATGAGTGCCCTGGTTTGTTTGGTGGAACCTTAGGACTAAATCTTTAAGTAAATGCTTTGAATATTGCATCTTCCTGCAAAGTAATTTAAAACTGAAATAAAATTTTTACTATAATTTAAATGTAGTTAAATTATAACAGAATTTACTTGTAATTTCCTACTCACAGGACTAGGAAGAGATGTATACTCCTAAAAATTTTTAAGTATATGCTTTAGTTTAACTGTAAAATTTAATACTATTCCACTGTAATATTTTGATCTTTCTTTTGACCCTCCTTTTGACCCTAAAAAGTAGTTTTGACAGTGTTAGTCAAAAGAGAGGCAAGGTAATCTTTCCCTTTGTGGGAAAGAGGCATTATCTGATAATTTTAGTACAGAGATAGTAAGGCAAATTTTAAGCTAACTAGGAAGTACCTCTGTAAGCACACATGTGTTGAAAAGCCTCTTCTCTTGAAACTACTTAATTACTGTGATTTTTTTTTTTAGTTGTTCATGTAATGATATTTCATTTCTTTCCTGCTGATAGAACTGTGGTAGTCTGACTACCTTGGTTTACAGCATGTAGATATTTTTGTATATCAGCAATCTTTTTGCTTTATATTTAGTTTTTTGTATGTATTGCATGCTTGTGAATTTAATTGAATTCACCTGTGATCTCAATTAGTGCTTTGTAAATGCTTTTGCTCTGTGTGATTTCCCTGCCTCTTTTGAAATTAATGTATTCTACAAGTCCTGGTAAAAAAGTGTTAAACCAAAACTATACCACTGTTTAGGCTAACTGCACATCACTGTAGGTTATGGCCCACAAGGATTCCAGGGGAGAGAGACCAGAGAAATGCACACTGAGTATGTGAGACCTTAAACACTGTATTGGAGGGTGTAGCCACATGCTTCATGCGGTGCAGGTTTCAGAGTGAGTGGCACGTGGGCCTCAATCTGTAGCAGACAACAATGCATAGGTAAGGCATGAAGGTTTTAGGACTGAATTGGCAGATGTGCTTTTTGCAAACTTACTATTTTCAAATATAAACCTGAACTTTAGTAAGCCCTCCCTGACTCTGTCCATCTTCCTTTGGTGCCCATGTAAAGCTTACTTAAGCTGGTGTCTGATGGAATAGAGAAAAAAAATTATGGAGTAAGAAATTATGAGAATAAGGGTTTCTTCTACCATTAGTATTGCCTTGTGTAGTGAATACTTAGCTTCACGAGTCTTCTATATTTGCATAACAGCATATTTTTACTCTAGCAGAGTTTATTCTTCTGAGGAATATTTTTGCAACTTTTATTTATGTATATTGCATGGAAAAATGCATATTAAGATCTACTTACAGACAGTGCAGTGCACTTGTTTAAATAAGAAAACATGGTATTCGTTCTGTGCTAGTTTCTTTTTATATTCCTATCTTTTTTTTCAGTTGCTTCTGTTTGAGCTTCTGTAGGTGTTCATTTATTATGAGGCTTTTTAGTTCGAATTTGAGTGGCTTTTATTGTTGTACCTCAGTCTTTCTTTTTGAATTATCATCTCTGCTTTTTCCTTTTTGCACTTTCATTTATTGAATAGAATGTAAAATAAACTAATACTTACGAAATCTAATTCAGAGTAAGCAAAATATTGAATTTATGTAGAACAATGCAGAACTGGAATTTGTATATAATAGGCTGCAATACATAAAAAGAAAATGATTAAATCATATCTCACTTATCATAGATCTTTTTGATAGGAGGAAAATCTTTGCCATTAGTTCCAGACCACCGTATTTCCCATTCACAATGCTTTAGTGCATAACTTATAAATCTGTCCTCATCATCTTATATTACTTTTTCAAAGCAAGTCTAACATGAAGCCAGACACGATGAATGGTAGTCAGTGAAGGTCGACTAGACAATCCAATTACTAAAGATTCTTGGAAGAACAGTACTGTAATCTATAATAGAATTGTGTGTGAATTTCTGTCTTTGTTGACAAGGGTCGTTTCTGTAGAACTGCAGGGTTTTTTTTAATGGTAATCTAGTTTTAGATTATGTTAGTCTAATCTGTTTGTATAATACATCAGAATGTCAGTTGTTTAAAAATTTGTTAGTTCACAGAAGCCATACTTACAATACAGATTTTATGTACCTGTTCTATCTCCTGAGCAGTGAAGATTTAATGTACAGCTACACATTGTATAACAAAGAGGCAGTGTTAAGGTGCATAATCATTGCATACATATCACTGCTAATTTTCCATACTTTTCTTTTTATCACTCATTTATTTTTCTTTCATTTTACTAAATAGACCATCTCTTGCTGGTGTAAAACACATCCTTACGGTAAAAGAGGTTACTATTTCTGTCTCTACTTCTGATAGAAATAGTGACCCAGGCTGCACGTTGGAATTAGTACAGAAGTTTATGTTTGTATAAAAACCATTGGTGCTGGGGACTGCAGATGATGAATAAGAAAAAAACCTAGTTAAGCAGAATAGATGTTTCCAGTCTTAAATCCATCCTTGAACTTTAACTTTGTTGCTTCTGTATCATAGAATCACAGAATAAGTTAGGCTGGAAAAAGTTCTGGGGTAACTGAGTCCAAGCTTTGACCAAACATTTTGTCAATCAGCACTGAGTGCCATGTCCAGTCTTCCTTTAAACCCCTTAAAGGACAGGGACTCCACCATCTCCCTGGGAAGCCCATCTCAATGGCTGATCACCCTTTCAGATATGGCTGAATTGTACCTACACTTTTTCTTCTTGATGCAAATAGATCTAATGAAAAAAAAAACAACAAAAAAACCAAAACCAATTGAATTTATGCGTACCAACATTGTGGTTTTGAGCCACATAAAAATAAAGACTGTAAGAATTTAGTTGTCTGTTTTTCTAAATGGAAACTAGGTAATTTTACTTGGCTATCATTTTGCCTATAAGTTTTAAATACATTCCAAATCACTACATGTTCTTGTTTTCCTCAAACCCTGCAAGAAAAGAACAAAAAGGGGTAATATAAATTCTACCTTCTAACCTTTTAGCAGATGTTTAGATTACAGGTATTTTGATCTGGTATTTCCATGCATAGTCTCTTACATTGATCTTAGGAGAAGATTTTAATGAAATTTCAATGAAATTGCAAGTGTGTGTATATGTAAATATAGAAATACATTTACGTATATTCTTTCCTAGCTAATACAATTACAGGAAAGTGGAGTCATATTTGAAGTGTTTAACCAAACAGAATATCAAATGGTCTTCATTACAGGCTGTCTGAATGGAAGGCATGTTATTAAAAAAATCAATTGCTATAAATGACATTGGGTCTGAAAAAGTAGTAATGAATTCCTAGATACTGGTATAACATAGGGTGCTGAGAGGAAGGTAAAAGGTTCAACTTGATTGGAACAATTTTTACAGTGTTTCGTAGTAAGATTTGAAGTAATCTTCTCCAGATAGTGGGGTTTTATTGTCTGACAGCACAAGACAGAAACACTGCTTTTTATTTATAAGTCAAAATTTAAGAACAAGTTGTTTGCAGTAGCAAAATATGTGTGTAAACTAATACAGTAATGGTAAAGCATAATCAGGTTATGTCACACTCCTTTGACTGGAAAATCATGAGGTAATACATGAGGCATACAGAGGTAATGAAAAATCTTTTTCTGATTAAAAAGATGATGCATATCTAAAAAGCACTAAAAAAAGCACTCTAAAAAGCAGAGAAGGTTCACTGCTAATTTGTAAACTATCTAGTATAAATGGTCATACTCTTATGAATTTTTATTAAAAATATTTTTTCAAAGGTTTTGTTTAGATTACAGAAAATACTATAGTATGGAAAGAAGATACTTTAAGACATAGTAATTTTATTACTTGCATTCAAAGTGTAATTTTTCAAAGTCTTCATGCACCTAAATGTTAGCTGTAAGTAAGAAATTACTTGTAGATTGAAGTTTTAAGCTTTGTAATGAATTTGTAATGTTAGGTATTTATGCGACTGATTTTTCATTACTACATTTTCTTGATAGGTAGGACAAAGCTGTCTGCAACAGAGAATTACATTTGAATCTTCTATTTGGAAGGTAGACTAAGATTGCAGTAGAGTCCTTCTCTAAGATCATTAGCTGAATTAGAGGTTTTAATTTATTTTCTATAGGTGATAGACTTTTTTTTTTTCAGCCTTGATTTGGTTCTGGTAGCATCGTAAGTACTGTAAATTTCTAAGCCTTTGACTTGTGATAGTATTTGTCACAGGTTTTTGTTAATCAATATCTCAAAAAAGTAATAGTTGGTGTGGCTGTCCTTAGCTGAGAAGAGTGTGCCAAAAAAAAAAAAAGGTAAGGTTGTGTCAGATCAAATTAGAGAAGAAATTTCTTGCTATATTGGTTTGCTTTTGATCAAACAGGCAGACCTGAGATATGGGTCTCTGTTGATACCCTGTGATCACTACCCAATTTGTGATTGGATCTGTTCAGCTGACCCTTTTTCCTTTCCTTTTGGCCTGTTTTTAGTTTAATCGGGTTCTAAATACATAACATGTAAAGGCTTGCCTTTTACATTTATTTGGCAGATGTGCAGCAGTAAAAATCTCTACTTGCTGAGAAATTGTTGCTTTGAGAAACCTGCACCAGGTCTCTTAACAATTTTCAGTAACCCCAAAGCCGTACAGCTTTTATGAGGTAGTGGGCCTATAAACCCACATCTCTGGGTTGTCTTTTCAAAAGTTGTTCTGCCAGAGTCCTCACCAAGGTCACCATATGCTGCCAGGGTGCAGGAATGTGACATCTTGGGCAAGTTGGAGCTCTGGGTGGTGGTGATCCAAAGCACAGCAGGAACAGTGTTCCTATATGAATTCACCTGAGGCTCAGCTGTGCGCTACATATTTCAAAACTTTTTTTTTTTTTTTTTTTCTTTTTTTTTCTTTTTGGTTCTGTGGGAGCAGGAAGACATCCACAGAAATTCTGAATTTTCTCAGCACTCAGGAGTTAGAATTCCAGACACAGTGAGATGTTCTTGAGCCGTGCAGCTGGAAAATACTTTGTGGCTTTGTCCTACCGTCAGTATATGGATTTTCATTACTGCCATTTGCACTGAGAATATATACTTCTCAGAGGGAAAACAAATAAACAAACAAACAAGAACACACAAAAAAAACCCCCAACAAAGCTTACTTGCTCAAAGGAAAATGTATAGGCGCTGTAAGTGTATTTATGTCACAGTTTCTCTTAATAATTTAGTCTACTTATGAAGCAATGTATTTATACAATAGAGTGTGTTTTATAGTCATTAAATTTTACTAGACAAACTTAATTATATATGAAAAATAGTTGTATAAATAAGTAAATCTCAATAATAAACTAGATAACATCTCCATCACTGACACAGTGATTATAAAGTAATTTTGTTGAAGGATAAAACACATTTAGCTGATAACTGACACAGTGGTATATTGCCATGAGATTACCTAGTCTCATGTGAGAAACAGATGTAATATTATTTTTAAGTTGAAATCTTCAGTTGCTGTGTTTTAGTTAAAAAGAAATACAAGACAAGGCATATAAATTCAAGATAGCACACAATTCAAATTCTTTGCAAAGTCAGTGATGGGTATAGCATGAGTCTATGGGATGACAATAACTAATTGGTTATATTTTCATTTTTGTATATAATTTATTAAAATAACGGATAGAATTGTCTCTTGGGTTATTTGAACATAAATAGAATGACAGTAAGATCTGAATTTGTGGCTATCATCATTGCCTTGTGTTTCTTTTTTCTCTGCCTCTGCCAGAAATGCTTTTTCTTCCTAATTTTCATGTATATATGTCTATGCATATTTATGCAAACTGCGCAAACCCAATGATCTCTCTCAAACTCTTGAAACAAATAATAGTAGTGGTAATAATATTAGTAAAAGTCTAAATGAGCTGCTTGCCAATGTTACATGGAAATTTCTTAAGATGTGTTAAGCATATGCTTATATCACCTATTCAACTGTTGCCTGTTTATCTTTTCTGTAGGTGACAGATCAGTCAGTGAAAGCTTTTGCTGAACATTGCCCTGAGTTGCAGTATGTTGGTTTCATGGGCTGCTCTGTTACTTCAAAAGGAGTCATTCACCTTACCAATGTAAGTATCACAACTACTTTCTGCTAGTCACTAGTGTTTTGGACTATAGCCAGGTCATAGGTATAGGCCACAATAAGATTACGTGTATGATTTATAGCACTGACATGGACAGAAACATGATAAAGTGAGTGAACTTTGCATTATTTAGATTTCACTGTATAAAAACACTTTACCAAAAATATGTTTATGAGATTATTCATTTTCTCACAAGTAACAGTGATGTTCAGGTCAAAATTCTTTAAAAGGTATAATTGCAGCTGATCCCATTGCAAACAAAACAAAATTCCATTTCAAAATGGAAAATTCTAATTGCAAGAGATTTAGACAGACATCTAGTTGCAACAGTGTACCCCAGTGTATGTACATTTTGACTGTATTCATCTTCTTATTTGACAGAGATAGTGCAACAGATACATTTTAATTTCTTTCCTTTTTCTTTTGCATAGGAGAAGTGAGTGATATGTGGAAAAACTAACTTGAGTGAATCTGCAGAAAGTAATTTAAATTTTCAGTACAATGGATGACTTGAGTGAGGTGGACAAACACCACCTAATTAAAATTTGTAACTGAAAGTAAATCCAGGGATCATGCAAATACGAAAATGGTTAAAGAGATCTTGAGGTAGGAAGTAGAGAGCATATTTAATGAAAATAGAGTGTGACTGCTGAAAGCAAAGGTTTTTTTGATGCAGCTGTGAAGGTCTCCTGTTGTTATACAGAACCATTCAGCGTATCTGTAAATTACTTTCATAATTTTAGAGCTGCTTAGCTGAGGCTACAGAAGAATTGAAAACATTTTGGAACACATGCAAAAAGAAATAACCCAGGGAAATTAATTTGTATGGTAAAGTTATAGGACCTCAAAGGATGCCATTTTGAAATAACTGTGTATTGAAGTGATGAGTAAAAGCATGTCTGTCGGAGAAAGAAATTATACAAATATTTTCATATCCTATGAAAACTACCTATATATAGGTTGTGTTAATATATGCAGCATAAATATAGGAGGTACAAAATTTAAACATTTTGCATGGACTGGGTATGGAGTCCAAGGCTTTGTGGGAAATTTCCACAAAGATCACTTTTCAGCTACATGCTTTGATTACTGTATTATTCTGACCTAGATTTATTGAGTATTTAATAGATGTTAGATGTTTTATCTTTCAACAAAATTACTTTATAATCACATTTGTTAGATTGAAGAAGAGTCAATATCTTGACATTTTATTAATGTTTCTGATTTTCATGTATTTAATAATAAGAAATTATTAAAAATCCTGATTTGCATTCGAGTGACCCTGTTGAACATAGTCCTTCCGAAAATATCTAAGACGGTGCTTAGACTTCTAGTATGTAATTACTTTTTAAGTAATTGGTGCTTACTGGGACTTGAGATTTAGGTATTTCAGTTTCTTTCCCTCATGCTGTAGCTGTACAACTTCTGTAGGCTGTGAATGCTGCAAAGGCTGTGATATGATAACACTGAAAGTTAGAGATTGCTTAACCTGGAGAAGGCTTGAAGGAGACCTTTTTTTCAACATTTTAATACCTAAAGGGGGTTTATAAGAAAAATGGGGACAGATATTTTAGAAAGACCTGTAGCAAGTAGTAACATTATCTTCTGCATCTGTCTTTCCCAGAATTCATCAGTTGATGACATAGGTTTTTGTTCTAACAGTCTGTGGCTGTTTTTGTGCTGAGTACTTACTTAACTGGTGTTTCATAAGCGTTTAGTAGTAATTCCAGCCTGGAGTTCCTAGAGAATGTGAAATCTACTCTTTGCTCTCCATGGCCTGTGAGTGTGTCCCTCCAGGCTGTGCAGAACTAGTTGCCTTCTGTCCTGCTTCCTGTGTGCAAACTGGAGATAACAGCAGTGGCCTTGGTTGTGAAATTGCTTTGGGGCTGATGGATGTATAAAAATTGAGTGGTTTATTATTACTGTATTTTCCCCCTAGTAATGTTAGCTCTCTTTAAAAATACTGCCACTTGAAAAATTCTAAATTACAGCACTGCTGCATTGCAGAGCTTTTTTTAATAGTTAATTGTGGGGTATGGAAGAGAAAGTGTTGTGTACTTAAGAAGAAACATTCAGGGTTTATTTTCACTCTTTTTCTACTGAGCAGAATGACAGTCAAAAAAAATTTGGTTTTTGAGCAAGACCATGTTATCATGCTGGTGCCTTTTTTCCTTGAATTTATTATAAACTGAAAAAATACAGATAAAGTAAATAATGATTATTGGGTAAGACGAGAGTCACTTCATATACATACATAGAAAGAAAGGAAAAAAAGGAGTGTGTTTATGTGCAATTCGCAGTTAGACTCGCTGTTGAAACAGTCGTTTGTTCTGATGACCTGAATGTTTCAATTTCCTTTAGTTTTTATGTGTCAAACATTGTTTACAAAAGAAATGAATGACCTCCTCCATGACATCAGAGTATTTAGTCCAACACTAAATGTTGTTTCTGTGGAGGCAGGAAGAACATGTGTGGTGGTGTAGTTTATCTTCTGTTTTCACCACATCCACACTTACTGTTTTCTTGTTTTATCTTTTATTATAACTTATTTTATTATTTAATTAGCTTTCTATGTATAATTTTTATTATTTGCACTCTTTCTCCCATCTACACATCTTTATCTCTCAGGAGTTTATCCCTGGTTATTTTTTACTTTGCTTTTTCAGTAAGTGTGAAGATCAACACAAATGTAAAAAGTACCTGTGCACATTAGGTGATTGTGTTGAGCACAAGATCACCCAGAAGGGTAATCTTTGGTCATTAACTATGTGAGAATAAGAAACTTTGTATTCTTCCTAGTGAGATAGTGATTTTGTAATGTTACATCTTTGACCTCAAGAGCAGTGGCATTTTCCTCCCCTGTTGTGGTAGTTGCTTCTCAGCAGTTTAATTGTTGCATTTTTAATAGAATTTTAACAGCTGGCATCAGCAAATCTTGACATCTAGAAATAATTTTATTACCAAGCCACTTCTTTGGCTTCATCCTTTGGTTTCCGATATATATGCAAGGGTAATTTCTTCATAGCAGTATACTCTGTGCTTCTACACCATGTACTTCTGACAGACTGTCTGGTTAATTTTGTTACAGACATCTAATTATATATGAATTCCTGTACAGAACCTTGACAGAAAAAAAATGTCTAACTTATTCTGCTAATCACCAATGCATGAAGAGAGTTAATCTAAGAACTGCTTTTGGAATAATGTGACCTTCACTTCTTCATCTCATAGTTACCTATGTCCAATCCAACTTAGTGATACCTGTGTCTAAGTTGGTGGTCAGTATGAAGTCAGTAAAAATTTAGATTTCTAGAGCAAATTCTTTGGGCTCATTCAATGTAGACATCAGCAGCGTGACAGATACATAATGATAATCTACACATGACAGGACTGAGGTAATGTATGGTTTCTTTCTAGTAAATGGTTTGTGTTGACACCAAGTGTTCTGCATTTTGCTCTTTTTATGGTAGTATTTCAGCATACCATCTGATCTTAAGAACATTAAGCTTCCTGACTAAGGGCATGATTGCTATTCTTTGGGTAGGTATGGAGGAAACAGTATTTTAATCAGTTTGTATATTGAGCTGGATTTAATAAGATGAAATATGATTTATTTCAATCTGTTTGCCTTTAGTAATATGTCCATTTAATTACTAGTCTTCCAATGACTGGAAAAAGGCATTAAGTGAGGGTCTTTTAATACAGTGATTCTGGGACATTTGTCATGAATGTTGGCTTGAAACTTTACTTGATAAAGTGCTGTGTAAGTGAATGTTTTTGCATCTTGTCAAACTGAACCTGATGATTCTGTTGAATGAAGTTAACTGTGTCCCTCTTAAGAGATTCTTGTTGCTATTTTGAGGAATTTGATGGTTTTACCCAACTGCCATTTTTTTCAATTAAGTAAAAAAGACATTGCAGAGAAGACTGGTTGAAAGTGTTTGATCTAGGAAACTTCCACTTCCCCTCTACTGCACAAAAAAAAAAAATCATTAGAAGTACTTGACAGTAAATAACATGAAGATGTAACCTATAAATCAGTAAAAATTTAATTCTACAGCAACTTTTATAGTTTTTATAAACTGGAAATTAGTCTTGTAACACAGATACTATGCATTCAGTTTACATGTGTGTGCAAGTGCCTCCTCTAGAGGTAATTAAATCTTTGTGCTTGCAGCACAGTTTTTGATTGGTTGTTTGTTACTTAAGCAATGGGACTTTAATGCTTCACAGTATCTAAGAATTAAAACTTATGCAAAAAATTTTATTCAGTCTTTGGGAAAATAGTCTCCTTTGTAACTACTCAATAATTTTCCAACTCTTTAGGCCATGTATGATTATTGTTCTAGGATCACAGTATATCTCAATTGTGTAATTCAGTTATGGCAGCTCTTCAATAAAAATTAGTGAATGTGAGTGACTTTAAAAAAAATATTTAATAGATTCTATTGACATTACAATACAAAGAATGTGGTTTACAGTTTTTCTCATGTTGCTGTTTTTCATTTTCTGCAATCATTCATTTGTTTTTGGAGACTAAAGTCAGGGAGCTGATTATTCCCTGAAGGCATGTATACACAGATTGTCAAGAAAATTAAGCTTAATTAGCAAAAGATCTGAGTTTAAAGCTCCTTAAGTCCTTATAAGGACTTTCATTCAGAAATAATTTGGCTGTGATACTGAAGAGGATTAACCTTACATGAAATGTTTAGTGGTGTGTTTGGCAGTTTTAGGTTTCAGTTGGACTCAAGCTTAAAGTTCTTTTCCAACCTAAATGATTCTATAGCTCTGTTCTCTTCTGTGATTTATAGGGCAGCATATCTCTACAGGAATTGTGCAAGTATGTAATGGAAAAAAATTGTGTACCCATTATATTAGCAATTTCAATAAAATAACATCTAAATATTCACAGGAGTTGATAAACCCACACTTAAATTACCTATGATTTATGATTCCCACACTTAAATTACCTATGATCCTATTACCAATGATAATAGTAATTTTCTATCACCTAAGGCACTACAAATATTTTAATATTCGAAGTTTGAGTAGTCAAGATAAAAATCTTATTAATTGCATGACATTTAGGCACACAAACAGTATGATAATCTCTGAATCTTCAAACATACCATTTGGCATAAAATTTCATTTAAGCCAACCAACAAAAGTATTTAAAAACCCCAAAGGTTTTAGCATATTTTAAAATATTTGAGATCCAGAAGTAATGTTATCATTACTTTTGTGTAAGTGATAATCAATAATTGCAGCAAGAATGTGTTTATAAGTATCACACAAAATTAGTTTAAGTGTTGCTCATTTTTAAAAATTCTATTATTTTCTGTTTCATATTTTAAGCCATTTGCCTACTTATTTGTGCTGTGTTTTTTCACATTAAATATTCCTTTTTCCATTAAAACGTTTTGACTGACATAGATGAGTTTGAAGTTTAAAATCTGCTCATGCATCCTTATTTGCAAAGCTATTAAATTAAAATTTCAAGAAAAGCTTGGATATCTGCAGAAGAAGAGCCTTGAAATTGCTCAGTAAAATGGTATTGCTGCATGAACAAAATAAGTTACAAAAGGAAAAACATTATGCATCCTAATTCTGTAAGATTGAGTATTTCAGTCGCAGAATATCCTCTTTCTCATGAACAAATGCTGTTTAAAGGTACACTATTTTAGTATCAGAATTTATGAATGCACTGTAGAGTCTAGCATCTGTTTTTTAATTGTCTACTTTGGAGAAGTTTGATTTTTCTTTTTTAATATCATGCTACTTTTAGCTGTGTGAATTAGTATTAGAATGTAAGACTTACATGTTTTTATCTTCCAATTTTTTCATAGTAGTGACTGTAGCATTTTTCCCCTAAAATTATTTATCAGGTAAGCTATAAAGTACAAAATTTGTCATTAAGGTATATATATTTTTTTAATGAAAAATTATTACGTACATCTTTATTACAATTCTCTCACCAGTAATGAGATGTTGATACTTCTGAAGTAGGCAGGGAGGTATTCCTTTCACTGTCATATTGAGATTGATCCAGAATTGTCTCAAAAGCAAGTGTGTATTCAGTTCTGCTGGTCTTGAAAGCCATTGACATTTCTGTAATGGCAATTTCGAGGTTGTAGAGACCATATTATATTTGAGTATGTATATATCTGAAACAGTCTCTTCAAACTTGTAAGACACAAAGGTTTTCTTCACTGAGCATGTTGTGCCTGAGAAAAAGAAGAATTAACCTGTTGAGTAGGTCAGACATTTAAAATGAAGGAATGTGGCAGTGAAAAAGGGAAATGATGGTTGAGTTATTGTATATTGAATATAATGATAGAGTATTACTAGTATGAAGAAAAGAAGCAATAAGGGAATGCTAATTATCCTGTGATGGTAAAGGACAAAATCTACCTTGAAAACCCTATTAATTTGGTGGACAGGAATACTAGGAATTCAGTTTAGTTTTTGATTCCAGTCATGCAATGCTAACGTTTTTTTCCCTGGGAAACCACAAATGCTTTCTGCTCCATTCATCATTATATCATTAAGGTAGATAATATACTCTTACCTAAATTACCTCTTACCTAATTTGAAGCCACATTTTTTAGGCATTTTTAAAGGAGCACTGGCCCCTTTCATGCATTGATACTTTAGTGTAAATTTGTGCATTTTAGTCTGTAAGTAATAATAATGGCAAAAGAATCTCCAGTGTTGTCATCTTCTCATAAGAAAAATGTTGTTGAGACAGAAAGTTTGGGATTTTCTTAAGTGGAAATATTTTATACTTGTCTTTTAAGTCTTCTTAGTTGTTTAATGTCATAGAACATACTCATTGTTGAATTGTCCAGCAGGTGTATTTTATGTCATAGGCATAGACCACATTACTGCCTGCATGATTTAAAGGCTGAAATATCTAGTATGAATAGCTGTAAGAAGGTGAGGAAATTTACAGTTGCTGAAAGCTTCCACTTCTTGTAATTTATACAGGAAAAATTGAGAAATTGGTTATGAGCTTTTTTTTTGGCACATAGAAGATAAACTTCATGCTGGAGCAGTATGTATGAAATGAGAATAGACAGAGCTTGTAAAAGGTGTCTACTTTATCAATACAGTATCAATCACTATATGCTCTGCTCCGTAATAGGCAAAAAAAGTTTATCAGAATTTCAGTGGGAATACAGCAAGTACCTCCACCATGATACCTGTGGTAGTATTAAAATAATAGAAATATGATTGTCCTAGATTCTGTAGATGTACCCTGCAGGTATTCCTCAGAGGTGAAGGTTCTTGATGTTATGCGTGTTTTGCAGAATTTTTGGGAATGGTATGGAGTTTATCTTTAGCTTTTGTTTAGAGCCTGTTAAAAACTTAAAGAACAAAACTCAGTTTCTGTGGAAGGGTACCTACATTCAAAGTCCTTTTCCTTTTCTTCTTTTCTTCTCACCCCATGCTACCATCTCTCCTCCTACCCACCTGCACTAAATACATTGACTTAATAATTAACTACTGAAGTGGACCAATTATATGATCTCAGTTGGATGCCTTTACCTAATCAAATCCTTAGTGACTTAAATCACTGATGAGGATAATTTTTCCTCTCTTACAGAGAAAGTAAATTTAATTAAAGTGTCAATATTGCCTAATGCAATTATTTTTCTAGAGTATAACAGAGATTATTTCAGGCAGCTTAAAAAGCAAGCAGTACTTGAAGGTTATTATCAATAAAGTGATAGTGGCGAAGTCTGTAATTTTTTTTTTTTTTTGCATCCGTAACTCATAAAACTTGTAAAAGGGATTGCTTTTGAAGGACACATGAATGAATAACACAAATAGTAAGTCAGTTTAGTCAGTGCATAACTACTAATTATATTGTTTTGTGACTCCCAAGTTTTGTTGTTTAGAATATCCAGTCTGTTATTGATAACTTTGCAGGTGAGACTACAGTATAAATACTCTATTTTCCAGGGAGTTTGTATTATTTGTTTACTTTGAAAGCCTTATATTCTGGAATTGTTAATTGCATTAATTTGAATCTAAGCACAAATATGCTCTCACTTCCTTCCTTATTTTTTTTATGGCTAAATGAGTTGATATTTTACCTTGGTATCTTACACTCCATGTATTTAAGAGGAGGAGAAGGGCCTAGGCTCTTATTGTAGGTCGTATGGCACCTTGAGTGAGAATGTCTGAAATTTATGTAGCAACTGTGTGCCTGAATCACAACTTTGCTCAAGCTGAATTCTGTGAATATTTTTGGTATATTTGCTTTTTGTAAAAGATATAGTAATCATATATTTCATGACTAGCTTGCACATACTCTGCAACTTCCAAAAACGAAAAAGTTTTTTCAACAGTTATGTATGTGAATGAATTTCAGATTATTTCTTTCTCTCATATTTGTCTTAATAGCTAAGAAATCTTTCAAACTTGGACCTACGTCATATCACAGAACTGGACAATGAAACCGTGATGGAAATAGTAAAGAGATGCAAAAACCTTAATTCTCTCAATCTGTGTCTGAACTGGATCATTAATGACAGGTAACTTCATTAGAGTATCCAAAAGCAGTGTAATGCAAATTTAAGTGGTTCTGTTAGTTGAGAATAATTCCTCATGGCTTGGGGGTTGGAGGAGATTGATTAAAGCAAACACTGTTTGCTGAGTGCTTGTTCCTGCTTATTTTGGGTAAATTTTTGAGACACCTATTTTGTGGAGTGTTTGACTATTTCTGCAACAGACAACGGTTTAGTTATGACCAGATGGCAGCACTAATTTTTTTAATGCATATTTCAGCAGAATGTTCTCTGTACAAAGAGTGATTTAAATGTTCAATTGCTATTGACGTGACTCATTCAGTAGGTGTCCAGGATTTAGATAAATTTATATGCACTCAAACAATGAAGCATATATTTGACTATATAAGTAAAAATGAACTGCTTGTGAATTAAATAGTGGAATTCCTGTATTTTTGGAAAGCAACAAGGTTGTTTGGCTGGTTTTGGGTTTTTTTTGCAAAGAACTCCAGAATCAAAATGGAAGAATGACTGGGTTATTACCTAGACATTTCCTTTTGACCAGAATACCTCCTATCCTGCTGTATTCCAGACTTTACATCAACTAATTTATTTCAACACCAAGTATGTGGAAAAAATTATGTATAGTTATAGCACAGATCAGATGAAAAATGAGAATTTTAAAAGTGAACGTTTTTTTTTAGAACAAAACTTTGAGCAAAGTCAGTGCCTGAGGGTACACAGGAAAGAATATTTTTAATTACTTATACTAGACTATTAAATTATTACTGCTGCTTTAAACAAAAGGAAAAAGACACTTTTAACAGAAAGGGGCTCTAAAACAGTTTCATATAAACCAGAATAATGTGTTCTAGCAATTGTAGTTCTTTCACATGGTTACTTTTTGGTTTTTTAATAAGATTTCAAGGTTTTCAGACGTCATTAAGGGTGTACTGATGTGTAGGTGAGCTCAGACTTTGGTGAAAGTGTAATATTCTAAAAGTAATAAAATTGCATTGTGTTCAATAGGAAGTACCAGTAATTTAGCCATAACTTCTTTTGGCCCTTAAGACAGTTTTTTGGATTTGTTGGTTTATGTTAGACCTTTGATGAAACTTCATTGGTTTTGAAAGCATTTAGTTGCCTCATCTTTCTGTCTGTAGGGCCTTATTTTCACATGTAGAATGATGTTACGGGAAATATCCAGGATAAGCTAGGAAAAATAATAATAATAATTCAAATTATAAAACAGGCAGCTTTCAGGTTTTAATTAAAGTACTTAGAAACATATATCCATCTGCTTGAATGTTTTGAGTACAGCAGTTTGCTAAGTTTGCTCTGAACTACTGTCAAACTGTTCTTGAAAATCCATTATTAGAATTACTGTAAGTATATATTTTAATTCTATGCATATTACTCTAAAACTTCACACTGAGTATGAATTACAAGAATTGTGAATCTTTAACAAGAAAAGGAAGCCCTTTCAAGCAGTGACAGATAATGTACTTATGTATGTAACTTCTAGTTGTTTATTTTTGTTTCTTAAGGTTTTCCATTTAATGTTTTTCTGATTGTATTTGTTAGTACTTAATTTAAATTTAGAATCTTTAATTGTTATATTATCTCCTAGTTTAAGAAAAAAAGAGAATTTAGAAAATAATTAATGCCTGTAAATCTTAAGCAGTAATTTGACAATTCAGATATTTTTCCTATTTTAAAAGTGGCATGAAACTCCAAATACAAGTCTGAACTGAACAAAGTTGTTTGCTTACTCCTCCTAAAAGCTCAATAGAGAATAATGGAAAATTATATAATAGGAACCTGGTGCAACTACATGACTTTATTTGGAGTAAACACCAGTTTAGTGGAGTATTGAGTGTACTCAGTTTGAGAATACAAGTGAGCTTTAAAAAGCTCACAAGACTGTTCAGGTGTTTGGGTTAAAATGCAAATTAGTTTAAATTAAGTAAATTAATTAATTATTTAAGCTCAACCTTTTTTTTTTTTTTTTTTTTTTTTTTTTTTTTTTTTTTTTAATTTTGGTGCCATTAGGTGGCTCCTAGTCTGGAGAGGGAATGTTAGAGGAGATTCTGTCTCTTGATACCTTTCAAGTGCATATGAGATACTAGCAGTCTAATGTTTTTCCTGATTCCTTGTTTTAAAATAAAAATTGGTTCCACCTCTCCCCCACTCCCCACCCATTTATCAAACAGGTTTACTTGTGAGATCCAATTACTTAGGACTTGTAATCCAGACCTTTTCAAACTTAATAGGACAGTGTTCTGCTCACTTTAGAGAACTGAAGACTGAGGCTTCTTCAAAGCCTTGGAAAACTGTTTTACTCCATTTCTTTGTGCAGAGTATTGAGTGTGAAAGAAAACTAGAAGGCTTGTGAAATACCAGTATAACTTACAAGAGCTAAGTAGCTCCTAAAGGTAGTTGATTATGACTTGGCAGCAATAAGTCACTGGTTTTAAAACTTTCTTTTAAATTTCATGATTGTTTGTAGAAATCCATTAAAATTCTTTCCATAAGCAAGAGTATAACTACAATACTTACAGTCCTTTCTTGCCTGTGACATGGTATTAGAGTTAATCCTGTGATCATTACATTTCTTCTTAAATAACTTAAATTTTCATAGTGTAAGACCTCTACTTGGTATTCACTTGCTATGATTTTTGTTGCTGTGGTTCTTATGCGTATGCAAGAATTGATGAGGACCATTATTTCTGTGTTTTGATTAGAGCTCTTTTTTTGTTTTGGATATATGCATCTGAAAAGCTTATGTGGGGCAGTAAAAAAAATAATTTACCTAAGCCAAAAAAATATCTTCAGTTGAGATACTCTTGACATTAGTTTTAAAATGAAGGAAAAAAAAGTCCCGTCTGATGATTTGTAAAAATATTTCTAAAAGTTGTGAATTAAACAAGATCATAAAATGCCTCTCGAAGTAATCTAACATAATGAATTCTTCTCTAAGTATTACAGCTCACTCAAAAGCTTCATATACTGTTTTTCAGATTGGTTATGTTTGTTATAGAAACAATCCTACTTCTTTCTAATATGTACAAAACCAAGCTTTCAAATTATTTTCATATGTATCATGAGTAGATTACATCAAGTCTTTGCAATTGGAAAGGATTGAGTTCTTTCTACATGGTGAGGTGAAAAATATACTCTGAAGCTTGCTTTCTGTAACCTTATCACCTTGAAGTTGTTTTTATGGTCACTGCCCTTGTTCTTTTGAATTTCAGTTAATGAAGTAAAAATAGAACATCTAGAAATAAATCTTGGGGGGGATTCAGGAAATGTAGCATGATGTGCTGGCAAAGTTTTCAGGGATATGTGGGTTTTTTAATAGTTTGAGGAACATCTGCTATTCATTATATCCATATTGATCAGGAAGCAAACAGCAGACAGTATAACTTTATTTTGTGAATCTCATCACTGTGGCCTGAGAGTTGCTTCACTTCAATATCTGTGTTACATAATTTCACTTAGGGACAGACATTTAAAAGCTATGCAGAGACTGTGAAATCTTAAGAGCAGTTCTGCTTGCTTCAGTCATCATCTTACTAAAATATTTCCTTATATTTGTATAGAGGATGTTTTCCAGCCCTTACTGTGTCTATGTTTCTTCTTAGAAAGAAGGAAATAATGCAGATAAGGCAAGGAACTTTATTTACTGGTACAGTGAGACTTTTTTTTGCCGTGGCACTGTCAGTCATCCAGGATAAGATGCCACCTGCAATACAAAATTATCAATTGCTTTTGCAGTCAAAGGACAATATTTTCCCAAACATTTAAGAACTTTGGTTCTTCCTCTGTAGGTGGTGCCACATGTTCTTGTAATAATATCTCAAGAGAACTGTATTTTTTAATGTAATTTATTGCACACATTGTGAGTGACTTTGATAGCAGCTGCAAAGATTTGCAGAACATCTGGATGTTGTTGAGACCAAGTTATAATTGTGATTTGGAGGATGAGATGCAGTATCTCCATGGCACAGTAAAAAAAGTGAGAATTTTGCTTATTTACCTTGTGGTGGTATTGCTTACCATCATTGGACTTCTGACTGGTGATGGGGGGAAAGAGGGGCATTATTGTGCGCCTCCTTGAGCCGTTAGCACAGGTGGAAAACCTGAATGTAGTCTTGTTATTCCATTTCTGAGAAAATGGCTCTTTCTTCTTTTGGGTTTCCATGAAAATCCACTATGGATAAACCAGACTAGGCAGTGTAATGGGACAGTCTAACTACCCTGTAATGATTAAGATTTGTTGGTGAGGATTATAGTTGGAGTCCAGGACAGAGGAATTTGAAAATACAGACATTTCATAAGGAGAGTAGTTAGGAAGTCAATATACAAAAGAAATTCAGTGGAAACATGGAAACAGACCATAAGCCTGAAAATCAAACTGTACTGCCTCAGAGTCAGGAGAAGGGAGAATTAACCTTCAGAGAGTTTCCATTTACTTTGTTTGACTACGTCATTAATGCACTGCCAATTTGTCAGACCTGGGTATCATAGTTGTTGGCAGAGTGTTGTAAATGCAGGCGAACCCAATGGGAAGAAATGACGATGTCTGATTCAGTTCAGAAGGCTGAATTATTTCTTTATTATAACTGTGCTAAAATACATTAATATATTATAAAAGGAAGATACTAAAACTACATACTACTTTCTTTCACTCTATCTCTAACACAACTCATGACCCTGTTCTTGAGAGTCCAGCCCCGGGTGGATTGGATTGGCCATCAGGCTCAAACAATCCTCACCAGAATCCAATCAAGCACTCACTCCAGGTAAACAATTCTCCAAATACATTCCACATGAAAAAAAAACAAGGAGCAGAAATAGAAATTGTTTCTCTTTCATTTCTCTCTGTGCACCTCTATGAAAAATCCTGAGAGAGGGAGAAATGTGCTGCCACATATCACCCTTTCTGTATAAATTAAAACAATAAAATAAATTTTAAAAAAACCCTGCATTTGCAATTCTTCTGCAGGGCCTTTGCAAAAGAAAGC